TACTGTTGAAATTGTTTGACGCAATCCTAAGTTCTCTGCTAATAGTTTCTTTCTCATACCTCTCACATGTGGAACTCTTTTTCTATCTTCTTGATTTCCTGTAAACTATATTCTTCAAAAATTGGAATGCAATGCCAATCATCTTTTGCCAGCTTGAATCTTTTTCTTTTTATTCTATTTTCTCTTGAGTAACATTTTCTCAATAACCTATGACATCTCAGTGGCTTTATTGCCTTGTTTGAGGTAAAATGATTAAAAAACCTAGCTCATGCCTTTTACTTATTGTGTAAACCTTTTACAATTTTATTTTTCCTAACTTGAGATTGTAATTGACAATTAGTGAGATTGACAGCAATTGCATATAAAAGTTCAAATGAGTCAGGCAGTTCGTTGCCTGGCTCCTCTTGTTGACCTCTCTGTATCTGAGTCAAGAGGAACCTAGACGAGGCTATGCCGAAGGGCAGAGTCTTATCTGGGGAGGTAGACAGCTACTTGACCCCATGTATACATGGTCTCCAGGGAATTTTTGCTGGAGCCTACATGCTCGGAAAGTCCTAAGTTAAACCAATCGTGTGCCACATCCCGCTTTGTAGGGAGCTTGGGTAAATGCCAAGATTAACAACAATTGAAGTTTCTCTCACATGAAGACTATCAAACAACAAATGAATGACACATTTAAAGGAAAAAGAATAATTTTCATGAAGGATGATTGTGTTTCTAATGAAAAATAAAATTCAAATCATTTACTTCATTTTTCAGAATATTCAAGCAAAAGGATTTTAAGAATAATCAAAAGATAAAATGGCAGTAAGAGAAGGAAAAAAAAATGGCGTTTGGTAAGTAAAAAGCAAAACATATTTGAGAATCAATGTGATAACAGGGAATAGATAACTCATTTGAGAAAAGCTTTAAAATAATAAGAAATAAGAAAGCAAAATAACATCTTAATCAATAAAAAAATTTTATTTTTTTAGAATGATGTTCACCTTGTACAAAGCCCAAGAGACACTCGAGGTAGAGTGTTACAGAATAAAAGGCACAATTTATGGAGAGATGTGGGGAATATAATGATTAACCCTACACTTGTATAGGTTAAGATTATAGTGATTGAGGAAGCATCATCTTGGGAGTCAGTTCCACAAGGCAATAGTTTGTGTGAAGAAACTGCTCAAGTGCAACTTACATATCACCAATAGAATACAAAGGTTATTTGGTATTGCTGGTTAGAACTGGTGGAAATAAGGAATGCCTGAAACATTTCAGAATGGGAAAATACTCGAAGAAACTTGCTCAATGACAAATACATTCTTATTCAATTTTGTTTATTTCACAATTCATTTATCAATTGATATAATATAGTGCACAGTAAGTGCTAGGAGATAAACTGTAAAAGAATAGTGCTAATATATCTATTAAAATATTCTGTATGTATATTTTCTTTACCATATGATGCTACCCAAAGTTTCATGCATGAGTCAGTCATCAGGCTATAACTTTTTACTTTGTCTGATGATTGATTTGCGCAGGAGTAACATCATGCAGAAAAGAATAAGCACACACACACTCTCACACACACACACACACACACACACACACATATATATATATATATATATATATATATATATATATATGGTAAGCTCTCTCTCATTGCAGATGACAAGTGAGAGCTCAGTAAAATAAAGAGAGCTCAACTTCTATGGTTGGTTTATATGGTTATAAATATGATTGGTGTTGGTTCTCCTGGAAACATTTATGTTCTTGGCCTGAGTTCTTCTTTTATATTACGTCCGTCATAATATGGATGCCCAAAGAAAAAAATAAATATTTCTACTACTGAAAGTTATTAATGATTAAATAAGAAAGTCATATTTCTGGCAAGAGATTGATAAATTAAGGACAGTTGTTTCTTTGCCTTTGAAAGGGTTTCAACATTGACAGTAAAAAGATAGTTCAACTTCTATAGTTGAGTCATTTCACTAGAATGGTTGAGGATCAATTACCACATATTTCCACAAGGGGACAGCAAGGCCTACATTTCTGCATGCAACAAACCACAGTAGCAGATTATATTCAAACTAACACAGAGGAGAATTTCCCCCTCCCACCACAAAACATAATCAAACACAAACAACCTTAAATAGATTCAATTTTTTTAAAAAATAAACCAGTTTGTCTGATGATAGCACAAGCAAGAAACCCAGGGTCACAAACTCAGATCCATCTGACTAATATGACTAAATATGTTAGCTCTATCATAGATATTGAGCACTTTTCAATAATGTGCTGTGCATATAAAATAATTATATATATAAATACATACACACATATATATATATATTGGGTGCAGTATAAATACCTCCCACCTTTTAAACTGTCACCTATATGGTGCTAGTGAACTTAGGCAAGTGGCAATAATGATGATCTTTTCCTTTAACTAATGTCAACCTTTTTTTCAGATATCAGTTACCATCATGACTCGGATCAGTACACACTGTGCATTTGTTGTTGAAACATGTTTTTAAGATTGGCAAATCTTTAATTGCAACACAGAGAGCTTTTCGTAATCATTTCATGTTATGTCAGAGTGATGTTGTGCCATATAGAAAATCAATATGGCTATCGCTTGATAATTTCAAGGCTACAGGTTCAATGCTTAAGAGAAAGCCATCTGGAAGACCTCAAACATCCAATTGATAGAAAAATTTAGAAATCGTCTACAACAGTGTATGGTGAATAGAGGCAACTATTTGGAGGATGCCATTTTAAAAACCAAATGAATAAAAGCTATAGCCCTTTGTTTAAACAATGAAATATTTTTTTTGATAGCAGTTACCTTGTTTTTTTTTTCAACCTTTAAAATGTGTGAGGCATTTCTGCTGTAAAATAAATTTTGAAAGAATTAATCAAGTTATCTTTAATCCAATGTTTTTGTTACTTTAAACATAATTATTCAGTGGATGCTTATATATGAAATAAACATCAAATTTTTATTTATATTATTTTTAAGCAGTGTGTATTACAGCTACCGGCAAGAATATTTGAGAAATCTAAATAAAAAAAAAATAAAAATGTGCTCTCTGAGAGGGATAGAGCATGCATCCTCCTGTGTAGGAGAAACCATTGTTTGATCCAGCATACATCATCACTTGACTTTCAAGAATATCACAGTACAGCAAAAAGGAGGACAGAGCCTTACTGTACTGACATTCTCTGTAGCCTAGCAGTAAAGTATGACTGATCAAATGGTGGTTTCTTGTACATTGAGTAAGAATAGACACTGTTTAAGAATATAAGTAAAAATAGGATGTCTAATTCACATATGAATATCCACTATACTAATATATGTATTCGAGCATGTCTAGTTAAATAATTTCAAAGTTTTATGTCTATTTATTTTAGTTTAAATCCTTTCACATCCACGAATTAATCTCTTGGTGACTGTAGAAAATTGATCAAGATAAATACCAAAATTTTCTTTCAGATTTTCCCAAGTACATTCAAACTCACATGAGACCATCTTCAGGGTGTTAAAATATCTGTGCATGTATTTATAGTATCTCTGTAAATAAAAAGTATTTTTTTTCACTGTTTGTTTACAGCATTTCAAATTCGAAAGATTTTTTTTCCAGCAATACAAGAGGAGTAACTTTTGTAATTTTATATATATATATATATATATATATATATATATATATATATATATATATATATATGCATTCTCATTATCTGATTGAGCAGTCTGGAGAAAGGGTAATTTCAAAACAGTGGCTTCTAGTGTTGTTACTGCACCACTCTTCAATTACAAATTGAGCCCTCTTGGCCGCTGGTGTTTGTATACCTTTCATGTACAACATGTTAAAATTTCCCTTTCTCTGCTGTGAACCGATAACTCAGGGGGAGGATCTCTGAATCAGTCAAGTTTCAATCCTGGCTTGAAGCAATCAGATGTCTAGCCACAGCAAAACAGGCTTGTATGTGGATGACTATATATATATGTGTGTGTGTGTGTGCGGGTGTGTGTGTGTGCGTCCGTCCATGCACACACACACACACACACACACACACACACACACACACACACACACACACACACACGTTTGGCTTTAAATAACTCACAAAGGGTCGGTAGACCATGAAAAACAAATCTATCTATCATCATTATTTTCAAAGTGTTTTAATCAGATCTTAGAAAAAAAAAAAAAAAAAAAAAAAAAAAAAACTATACCTGCTCTTAAAGTGTGGATAAATTTTTGACAACACACTGTAAATGTTTTAAGATTGGATAGGAGAAAAAAAAAATTATATTTGATGAAACAAAATATTAATTTTGATAACTGGGAGGAAAATACAGTCTTGGACAATGAATAAGTACAACTTCCGGTACAAAATATTTTTTCATCTGATTGTGTTTATGTAAATATGTGCGAAACAAGACGTCAGGTGGGGTACTGGTGCAGTGGTTGTGGTGGTAAGATATTATTTACTAAGATTAGGTCATTTCCCAATAAGGCTTCTTGTGTGTGTGTGTGTGTGTGTGTGTGTGTGTGCGTGTGTGTGTGTGCACGCACACACACACACACACACACACACACGCACACACAAGAAGCCTTTGACAGCTTCTTCTATGAGAACCAGGAATGTATTTGTCTCTGCCATACCTGACCAGCAAACTTCTTTCACATCACTCCATCATCTCTCTGGATTTTCCCCCCAACTATATTTGCTACCCACTGAGACTATTTTCCAACTAACCTTTTGTTCCCTCTTTTATCTTTCCTTGATGTATCCTGCCCTCCTTTATTCATTTTTATTATATCTCAAACTTTTATCTGTTCAATGACCACCTTCACTTCCATTCATCTTCATCCATTTCTAAGTTTGTTTTGAAACCATCTTGTTCATATCCATGTTTCCCCACTCTTTTGTCATAGATAACATTATAGTTTTAAGCATATTGGCAATAAGGACTTCCTTATATATCTATTTTGGCTTACACCCACATCAAGTTGAAACACTAGTTCTCATACAGTCACCAAAGTTAAGCAACATTGAGCTTGATCAGTACCTAGATGGCTGACTGCTGAGGAACACCAGGTGCTGCAAGCTTGGATATGTGAGCAGTATAATGGATAATGACTTGGAATTTTTAATTAGAGAGCTGAGTTCTAATTCCCATTGGGTTTGTTATATTCATTTATGGGCAAATACCCTCAGGAAAGGTATGAATCCACCCATTTTCTCCGCAGCTGTGTCAGTCTGTTAGACTTGTATCACTAGACCATTATTATCTCGAAAGAAAAATTCTTACAATCTAAAAATAATTTCTGGCTTTAAATAACCTGCAAAGGGTTGATATATCTATTTTCACTAAATGGTTTCTAAACACATGATTTTTTTGTTTCCATTAACTTTAATTTGACCATCTTCCTTAAATAGCTATTTTGCTAATCTTCATCTTCTGTACTGATGATCTTTAAGACAATTGAACATTTATATCCCTCTTTAAAACCTACCATGAGACTTTCTCTATTCATATCATTTGACATCATCTGATGTTATATTCATACAGTGGCAAATCTTATGTGGTTTATATTCTCTCTATTTTATGTTTACCCCTGTTCCCTTACAATTCATATCAAATTTTCACATTCCTTTTCCAATCTTTATCTTGTATCTTTCTGAAACAATTATAACAACACTATAACTGTATATAATTTGATATCTTTTACAAAGTTTAATTTACTACTGTAATAAGCTCAAGACTGCTGAGTTTCCTACAGAATCAAATACCTTTTCATAGTCAACAAAATTTAAACATCTAATTTAGACTCAGTGGAAACAATAAATGATCAGTTAAAAAAACAACAATGATATCACTCAACATGGACAACGGAATGAGAGCAATCTTCCTTTCTTTTTTTTAAGCATTTCACTTCAAACAAGGAAGAGGTGTCACTGGTTTACAGGGGGTCATATAGAGTGAATGTGAGAGAAAAACTGTGTATAGAGGAATGAGGAAAGGATAAAATATGAACAGGGTTCAAGACATCAGAAGATGGTTATTGACATAGCATTTAAATTTTTGATGATTGTAGTTATCAGTGAAGTAAGTAAACAGAAGTGAATTTCACAGGCAGGAAGTGTGAGAAAAGAAGCTGTTGGAGTAGAAATGGTGGTTACATTTAACTATTTAAACAGTAAAAGGGTGGGACCTAGATGCTAGTCTAGTAACACATTTAAATTTCTGTAGTCAGGGCACCAGGGAAAAAACCTCAACAGAACAGTAACTATGGAAGTATTTGTAGAAAAGATTGAGGGAAGCCACATCATGTCTGTGAGAAAGTGACTGCAGTTGAGATGCCAAATCAGGATCGATTACATTGCAGATACTCTTTGAATTTTGTCAAGAAACTTGAGATGAACAAATGGGATGCCAGACCAGATATGGCAACAGTACTCAATGCATGGATGAATGGTAGATTTGTAGGTATTAAATAATTGAAATTCCCTGAACATTATCTCAATTGATAGATTTCCCAACAGCTCAAGAGTGGAATAATAACAACCAGGATGAGGATATTAGTTTGACATTAAGAAGAAGTTCTTTTAAATTTTTTTATTTTTAAGCTATATTTGCTTTCCAACCGTTAAACATGGGTTCGAATATCACAATAGCTGATTTGTCAAATTAGTGTCTTTTTGATGTTATCAGCCTGCTGAGATTAAACCAGTGTGTGACACCTTTGGAAAATATCTGAAAACCAAGCCTTGCAAGTGAATTGGGTAAACAAAACTATTTAGGAGCCATTGATGGTTGTGTTAGCATAATATCAGAAGTCATTATGACTGAGGGTTTGAGCATTCTGGCCTTGTTCAGGCTGTTGGCTACACCAGATTATATACTCTCTCCTGGAATTTGTAACAAAGGTCCATTCAGTATAAACCACAGATGGGCATTGTGGGTGCTGAACAAACACAAATGTGTCTGAGCAGGCATCTGCAACAGAGAGTGACTAGCCACCCTAGTTAACAGGCATACAAGCAACCAGCCTTTATTTATTATACTGCAAGTCAAATTATCCTTTTACTTTCAAACGCAGAAATGCAACTATTCGCAATCCGTCAATCTCTCTTCAGAAATATGACTTTCTTGTTTAGTTATTAATAATTTTTGGCAGTAAAAATATGTTTTGTTCTTTTTCTATTGGCATCAATATTATGATGGTTGTAATATAAAAAAGAACTCAGGCCAAGAACATAAATGTTTACTTGGGAAACAACACCAATCATTTTTATAACCATATATCACAACCATATGTTAGTTTTTTGAAAATATTTACAACTTTCAATACAGATTGTTGGGATAGGAAGAACTCTGAATTTTTCAATAAGAGGGAAAAAAATGCTGATGGCTAAGTTCCAAAAGAAATCACTTCAAGAATAAATTCCTGAATTATGCAGTTACTTTTTTTCACACAGAAAATTCAAACAGTTATTCCTTCTACCTAAGATGTCATAAGGTCAAAGAATAGGATTTAGAAATGGATTAATTACTTGAGTCTTAACAATATATCATTGATAGAATGATCTTATCAATCATAAATCAAATCATGCTAATTAATTTATGCAAAAAATTTTTTCTATTTTAGGAGAAATTAATTTTAAACAAGTAAAACTGATCTTATAATTTCTTTCATATTAAAACAAATTATGGTTCAGTACTTTGTGAAATTGGTTGAATTAAATGGATTTTTTTTATGTATGCCTGGTGTTATGGATCGGATTTATGAAACAAATTCATGAAAACATTCAATCTTGTCGTGGCATTTATAATGATGCAACAAATTGTAAAAATAAAATTATCAAGTTCTAAAATTTCTCTAGTACATTATTATGATTAAATATTAGTATATTATTTTAGTAAATTATATTTTATTTATATATATAACCATGAACAGAGGCAGAGAATAAAGTGTTCTAACTAAATATTGGTCTTTGGAAAATGAACTTTATTCACTGAATAATAAATCAAAAAAATATCCTGAATTACAATAGCACTTTTCTTTTAATATTGAAATTCACCCAATATGAGACTCAAGAGCCACTCAAGTTTGAGGATTAAAATTATTATAATGAATAAGATGTGAGACACAAATAGGAGTAGATAGGTTCACCAATCATCTAGTTCACACTTCTTCCTGTTCTTTTAAACAGCAGCGGTTTATCCCTTTTTTCTCAGTTTCAGATTGCATTTCCAGTTCTTTCTAAAGTCTACTTCAAGATTATATTTCTAATGTATCTGCCTAAACTATGAAATTTTATTTACTATTTATTTTTCATTATTTTATTTTCCTTGATTGGTTTGCCTATCATCCAATTCAAATTCCTCTCCTGTCTTTTGGGCAAGAGTAATCTTCTACCTCTTGTTTCTTGTTTAGGATTGCATTTCCCATTCCAGTTAAAGTCTTTTCCTTCTCTTTTATGTCTAGTAGATCATTGTATTTTAGTGGAATTATTGCCTTCCTTGGGGATGATTAAAAAAAATTTAAATAAATGAAAGGAGGTAACATGAAGTGAAAATTATGAGGAAAATTTTTGATCTTAAGACAAGTTTGCACACAGAATCATTAGATGCTCTGAAAATCAAGACAGTTATCGCTAATGGAAATTACTACAAATCTGAAGAGGTTTGGGCTCCATTAGGCTATCTTGGCCTAAAAGCACACTACTACTTGCTGCTATGGTCTCAATAAATATGGCGTGTCTATAACCATACCTGATTATGGAACCTGACTATCATATTACAAATAGAAACACACACAGACCTCTCTCATGATCTTCAGACAACTCCTTAGTTCTAGTCATCTGAAGATCACAAGAGTGTGTAACTTGAGTAATGACTCGGGCTGTCCTTTGTTAAGTGTTGATATTGTGAAGCATTTTTTTGCTATGTCGAGATAATCTGGGTATTGACTACATTACTGAGTAGGTAGGTGTTTGTCTTTTAGTATCCTTCCATTCCTTGTTCAGGACATCACATTTTAACTGATATATTTACCAATATTACACTAAAGATATCTTGAAATACTAAAGAGTAAATTTATTCAATAAAAGCACAACTGGCTTCAACCACGACCTCCAGATGACTTTGGAATCTCCTCCAACTCTTCCCGATGATCTCCTTGTTTGTTAGAAGGAGTTTTGTTGGTCTCTCGCTCAACTGTGCCCCACATATCATGATCAAGGGTCACAGTCTGGGAAGTTAGGTGGCTAGATGTGGTCACAGAAATTCTTTGACAGCCCTGACTGGGTTCTCCTGCTTGTGTGGGATGGTGCAAAGTCCTGTTGTCTGATATAGGGCAGCACTACCTCTTCAAAGCACTTAATGTAGGCCTCTGGGTGGAGTCTGAGGCCCTCACCAACAAATTCAGGAGTTCATTTCTTATCAGAATGATCAGAGTGAGTTTTCCAAGCTGTCATACCTTCATAATCACCATTAGACTCATCCAACTCTTTCTGAATTCTCTGCACTGTCTTCAAATTGACACCAAAACACTAAAATGATTGTATTGGAGATTCCAGAGTGAATGCCAAACAGTACAGTACAACATGCTGTTTTCAAATTTCTGGCAGAGTGAATTGCATCATAGTGCTCTTTTTCTTATAGACACTGCCCAACTAACCTTACGATACTGTGCAATTGACAAAATAAAAAGCAAAAAACATGCACATGCAAAATTAAAAATATAAAATGGCAATAATTTACCTATCGCACTCTGTATATATATATTTATATTATTACTTCAAAAGTTATATTTGAGTGGATACACATTGATTAGACTAATGTTATTTTTTAAAGAGTGTGTGTTTTTAAACAGGTATGGATGAACATAAGACATAAACAGATAGACTTAATAGGTAAGCTTAAAAAGTATGTAAATTTTAAAATTTATACAGCCTGTGTATTCAAAATTCTTAAGAAAATGTATTCCCTAGCACTGTTTGGAACTACATCCCCTTTGTAGGAAAAATCATTGTCTGATCTGGTGGATTTCTGACCATAATTTATATGCAATTCACTGTTTAAAGAAAACAGGGTATCTA